TTTTTTCAAGAAAATCTGAGTTTGTGTCTTCTCTGTGTGTGCCAGGAGTTGGTTGAGTGTTGCCCAAAAAACCCAAATTTCAAAATTTCAATCCTGAAATCCCCATCCATGACTGAAAACAATATTTTTTATATTTTTTTCCACCTTCAGAGCTGCAATTTTTTTTGCTCTCACCTCATTTTTTAATATATTTTTATAAAAAATATTAAAAAATATATTTTTTATTTTTTATATTTTGCTCTCACCTCATTTTTTAATATATTTTTATAAAAAAAAATATTTTTATTATATATAAATATATGAATTATTATTATAAATGACATTATTATAATTTATAAATAAATTATAAAATTTTATTATTATAATATTATATTGTTATAACAATATAATATTATATGTTAATATCAATAATTATATTAATATGTTAATATTAATATTGATATTAATATATATTAATATATATTAATATTGACATTAATATATATTAATTATATATTATTTATAATTATATATAAATATATAAATATATAAATATATATTATTAATATAATTAATATTAATTACTTTAATATATATTAATATGGATATTAATAATATTAATATTATATATTGATATAATATTATATAATATTGTAATATATTATTATAAATTATAAATTGTTATTTTATATGAATATCTAAATATATATTATTTATATTATATCTAAATATCTAAATATCTAAATATATATATATAAAAATATATTTTTATTTTTATAAAAAATATATAAAAATATATTTTATATATATTTTTTATATTTTGTTCTCATCTCATTTTTTTAATATTTATTTATATTTTATATATTTTATATATTTATATAAAATATATTTATTTATATTTTTATATTTATTTACATTTCTGCAAGGTTTTATAACCTTGAACCTTCCCCAGCTCGTGAGGGGGNAAAAAAATTCACATTTTTAGCTGAAAAAATTCACATTTTTAGCTGAAAACACTGAAAAAAAAATCACATCTTTAGCTGAAAATGCTGAAAAAAAATCACGTTTTTAGCTGGAAAAATTCACATTTTTAGCTGAAAGCGCTAAAAAAATGACATTTTTATCAGAAAACGCTGAAAACAAATCACATTTTTAGCTGAAAAAAAAATCACATTTTTAGCTGAAAACACTAAAAAATTTCACATTTTTAGCTGAAAAAAATCCCATTTTTAGCTGAAAAAATTGCATTTTTAGCTGAAAAAAAATTCACGTTTTTAGCTGAAAAAATTCACATTTTTAGCTGAAAACGCTAAAAAAATCACATTTTTATCAGAAAACGCTGAAAACAAATCACATTTTTAGCTGAAAAAAAATTTGCATTTTTAGCTGAATACGCTGAAAAAAAATCACATTTTTAACTGAAAACGCTAAAAAAAATTCACATTTTTAGCTGAAAAAAATCACATTTTTAGCTGGAAAAAATCACATTTTTAACTGAAAACGCTAAAAGAAATTCACGTTTTTAGCTGAAAAAATTGACATTTTTAGCTGAAAAAAATCGCCTTTTTAGCTGAAAAAAATTCACATTCTTAGCTGGGAAACTAAAAAAAAAAAAAAAAGAGGAAAAAAAGGAGAAAATCCTCTGTGATTTTGGGATATCTAGAGAACAATTCCTTGTGGGATTTTGGGAACTTTCTGAGAAAAAATCTCTTTTTTTTGGGGGTCTTTAGGGAAAAATTCCCTGTGGGTTTTTGGGATCTCTAGCGTCGAATTCCTTGTGATTTCTTGGGATTTTTCTAGGGAAAAAAAAATCACTTTTTTGGGATCTCTTTGGTAAAAACCCCACTGATTTTTAAGGTGTCTAGAAGAAAACCCTCTGTTTTTTCTGGGGATTTTTAAGAAAATAATTCCCCCTAAGAATTTGAAAATAAAATCCATAAAATCACCAATACTTTTGGGGTTTTTTGGGGGGTTTTTGGGGTTTTTTTGGATGGTTTTTTTTGGTTTTTTTTGTTTTTTTTGCTTTTTGTTTTTTTTAACTTAACATNCTAATTATTTTCCCTTTTTATTTTCTAATTCTTTTCCCTTTTTCTTTTCTATTACTTTTCCCCTTTACTAATTCTTTTCCCCTTTTTCTTTTCTAATTTCCCATTTTATTTTCTTTTTCTTTTCCCCTTTTATTTTCTAATTCTTTCCCCTTTTTCTTTATTAATTATTTCCCCCTTTTCTAATTCTTTTCCCCTTTTATTTTCTAATTAATTTTCTAATTCTTTTCCCTTTTTTCTTTTCTAATTTCCCCCTTTTTATTTTCTAATTATTTCCCCCTTTTCTAATTATTTTCCCATTTTATTTTCTAATTATTTTCCCTTTTTCTTTTCTATTACTTTTCCCCTTTTCTAATTCTTTTCCCCTTTTCTTTTCCAATTCTTTTCTAATTTCCCTTTTTGCTTTTGTGATTATTTCCCCCTTTTCTAATTTCCCCTTTTATTTTCTAATTATTTTCCCCTTTTTTCTCTTCTGATTTTCCCCTTTTCTAATTCTTTTCCCTTTTTCTTTTCTAATTTCCCATTTTATTTTCTATCTCTTTTGCCCTTTTATTTCCTAATTATTTCCCCTTTTATTTTCTAATTCTTTTCCCTTTTTTCTCTTCTAATTTCCCATTTTCCTAATTTTTTTCCCTTTTCTTTTCCAATTTTTTTCCCTTTTCTTTTCCAATTCTTTTCCCCTTTTATTTTCCAATTCTTTTCGAATTTCCCCTTTTGCTTTTCTGATTCTTTCCCCCTTTTCTAATTCTTTTCCCCTTTTAATTTTCTAATTCTTTTCCCCTTTTATTTTC